TAGCTGGATCTTAAACGCCCGTACGATTCTGCATGAATTTACATACTACGTATATGTACACGTAGACCTTTGAAACGCGCGCCGAAATGATTTCTTCTGACTCTTGAAACGCCAACTCTGCTAAACTACCGCATAAACGTACCGCAACGGATTGAATTGCAGCTAACAAGTTGACTTTGGTAATACTTGGATCATACGGGCGGATCAATCATTTTCCACGATCATCGTACATCTCCGACACCTACGAGTAAACACGCCACCGGCTTCTTCGGTTGCGTAACGCATTCGACATAACACCGGAATCAATGCCGGTCTCGGCTCGACTTGACTCCGTAGAAGATTCCGCTACAGGGGCACGGTGAATTAAAACGATCAAATAGAACGACAACACAGGCGCCAGCGAGGTGGCCTCTCCAGGTCTACTCGGTGCGAGCGGGAGAATTACAACGACGACCATAATGGTCGGATCGAGCTGTGCAACATAGTTGCGTCATCAGGAAGACGAGCAAGCGAGCGGACGCGCGAATGCGCGAGCGATAGGCGTCAACACAGAGTGGCGAACGGTAAAGTGGGGATCAGCTACGACCTTGGCCTCCACTCTAGCCAGAGAGACCGTCCCTCTATCCGCCGCCTGTATTGCTTGTGTTTGGCAATGTCAGCCGAGGGTCACGAAAATATTGCGCACCGTCCAAGGCAGGCGACGACGGTTTTCTGTCGGGGGAAAGGGAAGGGAAGGGAGGAGAGGGGGAGGGAAACGCTCATTTGCATTATGCAATGCGCTATTCGACTTGTAGGTCTGTTATCAGACAACTACATATTGCTGTCGTGTTTATCGGGATCGGTTTAATCCCCTCATTTTTCAAATGTAGAATCGCGAGAGAGACAATTTTTGCAAAGATAAGATTCGGAGCGTAACAAACAATTCCGGGCACTACACTGGTTGTTCCGCGAACTCTGAACGACAATTGTTATTCTCTCGCGATATTTCGTATTTGTCAACACGAATCGAAGACCACCGCCATTGTGGTGCAATTTTTCATTCGTTGGTTAACTCGTGGTTAGGTTTAACCCGACGAGATAACGTAAAAATTGTATTTTTCTATCTGTGATTAATTACTATCGCTAATGGTTTTGTAGTAAATAACTTTTGAAGTTGCTGCTACTAAACCATTAGTTTAGTGATTAATTACAGCTAGAGAAACGCGATTTTTACATTGTCATTAATGTTAAACGAGGATGGGTCGAAACCACAAGTTGATCAGACAATGGAAAAATGGATCGGATCTGCAAGTGATTTTAGAGCATGAAAAAAAAAACTAACCTCTTCACGCGAAACTGTGTGCATAAATTAATAATTGACTGAATTACCGACAAAAGTTTATACCTACAACTATATTGTACAATTATCACCTATATCTTACGTGTCCGAATGAAGATTGTATTATTTCAAAAATACGATTACGATCTGGGAAAACATACGTTACGAAAACATTAAGTTCATTCTTCGTCGCTCACGTAACCGTTGGCGCCAGACGTTATATATGTAATTCTACCAACCGTCACAACAAAGTAGTAAATAGCACGTTTGAGAGTTAAAGTGTAGTCTATTTTTACATATCACGCACGATAAATGTTCACATGTACATTAAAAAGTCATCCAATATACACACATATTATTTATCGCCCACTCTTTTATTTGTTATTCGGTTATCGCGTTTCGCATCGAGCAACGTTTTTTTTTCTTTCCTTCCGAAATACCGCATCGTCAGGGTATATTCGAGCTCCTCGTTAGATCCGATGATAGAATTTACATCGGTCGGCCGCACGATGACTAACGCGCCGTTATGTAACGTGTTGTTATGAAAACTCGAGTTGCGACAGGCGCGTAGCTTGCTACGCGCGCGGGCGCACGTAACGTTTCGCACGAAGTAAATAGCGCTGTTTACACCGCATTACCGAGATTAGCCGACAATGTAGAGGAGGGCCGATAAACGCGAAGAACGCGCCGCGCCGCGCCGCGGCGCCGCTCCTTTTTTGCGCCGCGCTTGGCGGCTCGCGCGCGCGAACGCACACGTTGAAAATACACGTGAGTTAGTCGCGCGAGCCGCCCGCGGCAATTATTATCAATGCATACCGCAATCATCGACGTACCGCGCCTTTATCTAAAGAATTTCAGTCAAGCTGAATAAAACAGACGTAATACAAATTATTGAAAAGAGAGAGAGAGAGAGGATTTTTCGTGCCTGTTTCTCCGTGGTAAAAATTTTCCTTCCTGCATGCTAATCTCGGCGAACCGTGGACTGCGCATTCTCAACACAGTGCCGACACTGAGCGTATACATATCGAACTGAGGTATTCGCACAGTCGACTCTTATATCCGAAACTGTCTCCAGTGTACTGTCTTAAGCTGTCACGGGGAACCAATCATAGGCCGTGTTCAAATCTCTTCCGACTTTAAGACCGCACATCAGGTAATGTCTTAAAGTGCTAATACGGCTCTCTCTAATTGGGTTTACAACTATGAATACCGACCCAAGTAATCCTTAAAAAGATAGGCGTGTAGGAAGTATTCGCGGACGGCGGTTAACTTTCGTTTTCGGCGAAACACATTCCTCGCCGTTCGACCACGTGGGGGACCGTGGACAAAAAGCAAACGAAAAAAAGAGAGAGAGGGGGTGGGAAGGGGGGGGGGGGGGGAAGAGACGGCACGCTGGAAGAACTCCGGAATAAAAATAAGAACATGGTAGCATACACGTGAAAGCCATTAAGCCGGACGTAACGGTGAGGAAAAAATAGTAGTCCGATTTAGTGCGCACCCAACCGGTTTGCCGTAGTTAACACACACGCGCGCTATCTGGTGTGCGCCGCTGATGCAAGAAAGTTATTATCTAACCTTGGCGCGACGCTCGCAATCCATGCGGGCCCCCAAATTTCGTGAGCACGTGTCGCAGATACCCCGGAATCTGGTTGTTATCGTTGCCGTCGTGCCGACACGGCGCGGTGACGCACGGCTGTGCCGCTGTACTATTTTTAGTCATGAAACGCGCAATTGCGCAGGAGAGATACGCTTTCAGGTAGTATCGCGAGGCGCGATTAATCGTGCGCTTGAGTACAATTCCGTTATGAAGTGGTTCTAGCAACGTGGCTCGTCAGTCCTTAATTCTCGGCTTAACTTATTTTTTCTTCTCCTTCGAAAACTAAGAGAGAAAAAAGATAAATAAGATCGTGATAAATTTCTCATCTCTAAACTTTTCCCCGATTCTTTCAATATAATATATTTGGGGATTTTTGGTATTCCCTGATTTCCGGAA